GTAAAGTGGAAGGTCAGAGAAAAAGAGGAAGACACCCAATGAGATAGATTGGCACAGCGGCAGCAATGGGCTCAAATGTAGCAACAATTGTGAAATTGGCACAGAACCAGGGTCTCAATGAGTCAATAGCAGCTCAACAGCACCTAACAACGCAATAATTTAAATTAACATTCATCTCAGAGTACTTTAACCAAAACAACTAACTTTAATAATTATTTACAAAATAGCCTTATCTGGAATAAGCTTTGCTAAATGTCTTTTTTTTTTTTTTGGTTGGGGGTGTGGGAAAAGAGGATAAGAAAAAAGGAACTGCGAAGTGCTGAGATTAAATAAAAATACAGAATTGGGGTACTGATTACTAATCCTAGCTGCCTGATTATAGATTTTATCCTTCTAGAACTCAGAAAACTCTATGCCTTTGAATGACTGTGCTTGTGAAGAATACTGACTACACCAGGGACCACCCGGAGAACAAACAAATCTATCTTGGCGGAAGGACAACTCAAATGCACCTAATCAGAAGGAACCAGTATCTGGAGAAGGACATGATGCTTGGTAAAACACAGGTGGTCAACAAAAAAGAAGACCCTTAACAATATGGCTGACAGTGTCAACAACAAATGGTTCAAAAATAACAACAAATGTGAGGATGACGCCAGTACAAGGGGTATTTCACGCTGTTGTAATGGGGTTGCTATGGGTCGGAAGGAGTCCTGGTATGGCGCTTTAGCGTAAACATTGAACCACTAACCACAAGGTTGGCAGTTCACACCCTCCAGCTGCTCCTAGGAAACCCTATACAATGTCTCTAGTATATAGCACTCAACAGCACTTATCAGCAACAACAACATGGGTAACAAATGACTCAACTGCACCTAATAAAAACAAAAGACCTCATTTTCATTATCAGTAAAATGAGGCTGTAACCGCTAGGGTTACTGAGTCAGAATCAAATTGACAGCACACCACAATAACCTATATATGAACTCAAAGGTCATTCCACTTACAAAATTCCTGGCACACAGACATGGGCATGCAGACTGTCATTAGCTTATTTGCCTATCCATTACTACTGCTCCATCTCCATTACTTAAGGCTTAGCATTTTAAAAGGTAAATGTTACAGAGATTTTCAAATTTCAAGCTTCTGAAAGACAGGGAGATAAGTTAAAGTTAGCAGTCGCTTTCCCTTATTTTCTGTAACTTCTATTGCTTTTTTGGTTCTTTATCAGTGAGACTATACTTACCACAATCAAGTTCTCAATCCATATGCACTCAAAATAAACATTAAAAGTCAGAACTGAAATTTTATTGAAGTCTGTAAGAAAGTCTTTACCTTCATTCACAGATTCTGAGCTGCTACTTTTGTCCAAGGAAAGATACTCATTTGTATTCAAGTCCAGAGATTTTGATGGTATGCTACGTAAGCTTTTTTCTGAAGGTAGTAAAGGACTCTTCTTGATCTGTTTCTCACTTTGGGGCTCTTCTTTTCCTAACCCCTATAAGACAAAAAATAATAATAAAATAACACCGAAGTTTAAAAATTTTTAAATAGATCATAAGCTGTGATTTTACAGTGAGATCTTTAATAAGAAGAATGCTTTGCAATATTGCTCTTTGAAAAAGAGTTACACGTCGTTCGTGTATGTAACACAGTTCCAGTGATGTTCAATTTTAGGACAGAAGATAATAATAGTAAATTATATATATTAGTCTAAAGTTGTCTATTATACAGCAATAAATATCAAATTTATGAAGAATATGATATAAAAAGAACATAGGTGATCCACCTAAACAGAAAAGAAAGTGGACAGAGAATAACAACAACTACAACAAAATGGAACCGTTCTTTGGGTGTGAAAAGGAGAGGAGTCAAAGCAGAGTAGTTTCACCAGATAATTCCGACCCCATTATCTCAAAGAAGAGCACTCATCCATCTTTCAAGACCAGTAACTAAGTAGGAAAGGTAAACAAAACGAGAGAAAAAGTCACACGAGAGTACAACAGGGGAGAGAGGATATTAAAATGAGAAAACAATTTCATAATAAACTCTTAAGGACACAATTGGCTTTACTGTTATAGGATTAAGGCACAGGGCATTAAAATATATTTAATATATGATGCTATCTCTACTTTCTGAAGTCTTGGTGTGGCACTGTGAGATGAGCACTGGAATGCAAAGTCAAAAAGACGGAGACAGGCTAAGTGCCCATCAATGGAAGAATGGATAAATAAACTTTGGTACATACACACAATGGATACTGTGCTACCTTGAAGAATAATAATGAAGCTGAAAACCACTACATAACATGGATGAACCTTGAGGACATTATGCTGAATGAAACAAATACTGCATACAACCATTATTGTAAAAGCTTAAGAAAAGAAAGCCATACTAAAAGGAAAAAAAAAAAAATCTTTGTTGGTTGGTTGGAGGGAGAGGACAGCAGAGTACAGGTTAGGAGACAGACACATCATAGCTCTGGTGTTGGGGAGGGCAATACAAAAGGGGAGGGAAATACACAAGAAGGTGGAGGGAGTAGAAGCAGGGTAGATAGGGGAACACTTAGGTGGGGTTGCATGGGCTAAATGGAATAGAGGTAAATAGTGATGTATGTTCAACCTTGGAAGAACAGGGTTCTGTGATATAGGGATCAAGGCATAGTCTGAAAGGGTAAATGTGGGGAAATAATGTTAAGATGCTTGGCTATCTTACGTATACTGTTTTTGCCTCATATTGTAAAACAGACAACTGAGTGGGATAGAAAGGAATATTAGGAAACATGATTACAGAAAGCTTGTAAGTCCATCTTCAGTCTATAACTTATTGGAATACCTAAAAGGGGTCCTATAACTTGCCCAGTGAAATAGGCATTTTGTGGAACCTTTGAAGTATATAGGGTATTAGGTGGAATCCTGAGCCCCATCCACAGAACCTTCTAAGGTAGGACATTCCCACTTGAAAGGACAAGCAGACCAGCCTGGAGAGACTAGAGGAACAGAGGATACTTCTTGAAAGAAAGACCAGTGGAAACACACACACACACACACACACACACACACACACACACACACACATGCAATCTGTTGAGGTATTACAAGAACAAGGAAGCAGTTCACTGGGGAGCCATCAAGGCAACAATCAATCCCATCAGGACAAACCCCTCTCCAAGACTGAAACTCAAAGGGAGCACATGAGAAGGCATGTAAGCTTGCTGGAAACTGCTTTGGTCTACATGTGAGTGGAAGTGGGGGAAAGATAGTAATGAAGATATGGGCTGAGTTTGACCATGTTCCATAGATTCCTGTTGACTGTGAGATGAAAGAGAGAAGAGGAAGAGCTGGTTGCTCCAAAGTTTGGGAAAACTTGGGAACACCAGAGCCCATGAACACTGACCAAGCCACAGAGGGTTAGAGCTGAGGGGTAAGCATCCAGCTGATACGAAGTGGGGGAAGAGAGGGAATATGCACAAGAACGTCCAAACTTGCAGATAGTACCCATTTGACTTAGCTTCGATGACTTGATGATCAGAACTCGACTAGAGGAAGATAAAGAAATTTGATAAAGGAAGCAAGTGAAAATTGCTATAATTTGATGACTTTGATTTATTACTTATGGATGTAGTAGATCAAAATACCAATGAAGAAGGAAAGAGTCTTCAAATCAAGCATCAAGCCTATCCCCTCTGTACACAGGGTTGATACAGACAGGCAACTTAAACACTGGCTACCTTAAATAGGTTTGAGGGCTATGAAGGCATGAAGTGGCTGGCTTAAAAGTTTTCACGAGGGAGTTTAGTTTCAGAGTGTGTGGGGCAAAGTAGAATTCCTACTGAATAGTTTTCATCTTGTCTAGAGGGGTATGATGAAAGGAGATAGGATAGGATTCTATTGATTCACTAGAGTAACTGTTATCATGACTAATTGTGACTGTTAACTATCATAGAAGTTGTGTAACAAAAGAGGGGAGTGTTTAATCTTACATTTCAGGAACAGAGGACCTAGGACCATCAAGAGCAAAGAGCATGGGTAGAACGTAGGACCCTATCCAGAGAAGCAAGGACACCAGAGATGGAGGTAGAGGTGATGGCATGGAGAGACTGAGCAGCTGAGGACGCTAGACTCATGGAAAGAGAAAGGCTGGGTACTTGTGCCCAGGAGGCTGACTTGCAGAATGTGCCTTTTGGCTGTTTAAATGATTATATAATCTTGTGTGTCTTTGTGTACTTAAAAAAACAATATAAGCAATAGAAGCAAACACTGTTAAATGATGATACATGGAGGGGATTGTAATGGCCATGAAACAAAAAATATGGTAGGTTGAGTGCAAACCTGACATTCTCCCATGTAAACTATCACTCAGTTCACAATAAAAGCTTTTAAAAAGTGGGGGAGGGGTGCGCTACAAAGGCACGAAGAGGCTGCTGGTTTACAAGTTTTCATGAATGTGCTTAAGTTTCAGAATGAGGTGGGTAAGCTAGAATTCCCCACTGAATAGTTTTCCTCTTCTCCAGATAGATCTGGTGAAAGGGGGTAGGGGTTGATGCTGATAGGATTTGATGATTCAATTGTGAGTAATTGTTAGCAGGATTAATTGTGATTGTCAGAGCTATAATTGTAGAAGATGTGTAACTAAAAGGGGAGAGTCTTTCATCTCCCATTTCAGGAACAGAGGGTCTCAGGACCATAAGAAGCAAGAGCACAAGTGGAACGTGAGATCCTGCCTAGAAAATCTGCAATGGCAGAGATGGTGGCAGAAGCAAAGGCATGGAGAGGTAGAGCAGCTGGTTCTAGGCCCATGGACTGAGTAAGGATGTATGCCTGTGGGCAGGAGGCTGGCTTGCAGAATATTTCCTTAGGACATTTAAATAAATATATATTTCTCTTTTGCATGTGTATATCAAATATTTTTACTTTGCTCATTTGTGAAATGTAAGATGTAAAAGGGAAGCTAAATTGAGGAAATAGGGTTACTGTTGTTGCAAGGAGGGAGTTGCAATCATTGAGATGAAATAAAGCACATAATTAATTTGTTAAATGTAAAGCTGATGATCTTGTCTGTTGCCCTTCACTCAAGTCACAATAAAAAGTTTTTTTAAAAATGAGTATTTACAATTTTTTTTAAAAAAGCACAATGTCCACATTTTGGGGGAAAATCTTTTTTTCTTCTTCTTTTTTACTTTAGCCCTGGTGGAGTACACTTTGGGTTGCTAACCTAAAGGTCTGCAGTTTGAACCCACCAGTTACTTCATGAGAGAAACATAAGCTGTCTGCGCCCATAAAGATTTACAGCCTCAGAAACCCTAAGGAGTTCTACTCTATCCTACAGGGTCCCCATGAGTCAGAATGGACCCAATCACAGTGGATTTGGTTTCTTTTGGTTTTATTGTGTTTTAGGTGAAAGTTGACATAGTAAATTCATTTTCCATTCAATAGTTTATATGGAAAGTGCTCCATAACACTGGTTGCATTCTCCGCAATGTGTCAGCACTCTCACCATTGGAAAGTTCTTTCTAATACTTGCTGGAGGTGAAAATGCAACAAAGTAAATGATATAGGACATGTGTTGACATTTGAGACCATCACCAGGCTGCTCTTAGATGCAAAAGGAAGAGGAGAACTGAATTTCTATATTTTGCATTCCATAACCTGAAAATACCTATATACGTCATATAACGTACACATATAACTGACCTTAAAACATTAAAACTGTTTCTCTGTATTCTCTCCCTTTCCTGAGAGAACTGTGACTTCCTTCAGGGGCCAAAATGATAGTTAACGACACTAAGAGTAGGGACATTTGAAATTGTAGGAAGGATTCAAGTAGAGCTAAGTAGTTCTGAGAACAGTCCTCAAAGTTAGACTTTTGGAACAGGGCAGAGACTGTAAGACATTTACCCATCTTGTACCTTGCCCAAAATTGGAGCGCTTAGGTCTTCTCAGTGAGTACAAAGAGACCAGGTTCTAGAATCATGTTCAACAGCAATAAGTCCCTAAATGTTTCCAGATGGTTCTGTGCTAGAGAAATCCACAACATGAAATCAGACTGAGCTAGTTGATGACAGTTGCCAGGAACAAGCAGATCATTTGGTGGTCTTTTACATAAATATATTCTATTTTAATGTTTCCCCAACATTATTCATAAAAGATCTTGGTGGTTCATGGGCAAAATACTAAAGGATCAGGATCATTGCTGTCACACACAGATTCACCTTCAATTATAATTATAGCTTATTGTTACTAAACACTTAAAGGGCACAAAGAACTGTTCTTAGCACTTTTCCATATATTTATTCATCTAATCCTTATAAGGAGCTCTGGTAGCTCCTTACAATCCTTACAAATCAGGCTGCAAACCTTAAGGTCGGCAGTTCGAAACTACCAGCCATTCCGTGGGAGAAAGATGAAGCTTTCTGCTCCCATAATGATTTACAGACTCGGAAACCCTGTGCAGGGTCACTATGAGTCGGAACTAACTCCATGACGCTTAACAACAACAACAATAATCCTTATAAGGAATCCTGGTGTAGTACCATAGGATAAGCCCTTAACTTCAAGGTTTGTTTGAGCCACAAGGTTAGAGCTTTAAACTCATCAGCCATTTCTCGGAAACCCTATACAGGGTAGTTATGGGTTAGAACTGACTCGACAGTACTTAACAACAACAAATCCTTTATAAAAACCCCTATGAGACATTAATTAAGGTCATTAAATGGCAAAGGTAAGATTGGAAGCTAAGCAGTCTGGCTTGAAAGCCCAACTCTAAACCAAGACATTCAGCTTTGGCCTCAAACTTGCATCAGATCAGGGAAGAAAGAACTCGGCAGGAGGAGCACTCTCAGCACACACAATGGGCTCTCTAAACACTATTCTCCATTGAGAAGAATTATGGCTCATTAAGAAAAGGGCTGATTCTGAACTCTGGGGCAGAAAATGTACAGATGTGCCAGAAAGGAAGTCATCAGGGATTTAATGTCATTTCAAAAGGACAAAGCAACTATATCAAAGATGCTTCCATTGGCAAAGAAGAACAAATTGAGTAGCAAATAGAAGACTCTAAGTGATAGAAATTTACTGAAACTAATACATATACATATATATATATATATGCTTACAAGGATTCTTGAAAATATAAAGGAAAAAACTAACTTGCTCCAAAGCCCAGTAGTTAACTGGACCTTTCTGCTTTGAGGGCAGCTTACAAAGCACATATAAAATAAGCTTGCTACTCAGCCTTCTCATGTCACTCTTCAAAGCAGTTCTTCCCACCACATTTGCCACACACCTCAGGAAGAGTGCTGCTACCAATGAATTTCTCCATCTTGTTATCTTTTAGTGATGTTTATCCTTTGTTTACTGATACTAGGTGAAATACCTGGTAGATCTGCATCTTATACAGCTTAGAACAAAACCAGATACTGCTGTCATGTAATTGTTGTTACTCATAGACATAAAACTTCTTTCTTCTATAATAAAGTAACAGCTTGATATTCTAAGTTTTTTAAAGATTTCATATAACGTATTTCTGTTTGCTCTTATGTTATGATTAACACATAGTGGTACCATAAATATTTTACACAGGCTATCACATACTAACCCCTTTTGGTGTGTTTCCATTGAATGACTCTGTTTCTGAAACCCGACTCTCAGATTCATGGGAAAAATTGATTGACTTGGATAATTTTTCATCTCTCTCTCCAGAGTCATCCAAACTGCTTCGTCCTGGGCTTCTGTAAGAAACACATCATTATGAAAACATAAACAAGGCCACCTCCACACCAATAAGAGATTGCCCTTCTCATTGAGGTCCTTTCTTATTATAAAGCATTTGAAGACAAATGAATTATTGTAGCGTAATATGCTAACAACTTACAACAGAGTCCTGGTGTGGCTCAGTAGGAAAAACACTGAATTGGAAGTTCGGATTAGGTTGACGGTTCAAACTCACTAGCCACTTTTAGGAAACTCTATACTGGGTTGCTGTGAGTCGGACCCAACTCAAAGGTACTTAACAACACAACTATTACTTATAATGAGGTTATTTTCTTAAATTGCATGAAATTTACTTTATTTCTGAAAACAAAAGATGTGCTCATATGAGATTCTGTAAACATCAGAGACCATTAACAAATTAACCAAGTACAAGTGGCTGCAGTAACAACTATCTAAAGGAACACTTCTAGTTTCAATTTCAGTGTGTGGTCACCCACCAACCTTTGAAAGGTGCAGGGTAGGGGTTATAGACGAGTCAGCACCAGAAGGCACCTTCAGACCTCCTTCCCTCTGACTCAGTCCTGGCCAAGATGGAAGATGATGTTGTTGTTGAGTGCTGTCAAATTAGCTCTAACTCACAGGGCCCCCTGTATAGGGTTTTCCAAAGAGCGGCTGGTGGTTTTGAAGTACCAACCTTGCAACTAGCAATCTAATGCTCATCCTACAACACCACACTTGTTGTTGTAGCGACCCTGTACAAGGTTTCCGAGTCTGTAAATCTTTATGGGAGCAGAAAGCTTCATCTTTCTCCCACGGAGCAGCTGATGGTTTCAAACTGCTAACCTTAAAGTTCGCAGCCCGATTCCTAACCACTATGCTACCAGAGCTCCTTACAGCACTACAGTAGGACTCCCTCAATCAATTCAAGCTCCCCTTCTCACGCTTCTGGTCCCTAATAACAAGGTTTAAGAAAGCTCTTTCAAATGATCATAGCTCCAAGTATTCTGGAGGCTGCTTTTTTCCTCTTTCAGGGAACAAAAAGGAAGTAAAGTCTATTGAATGTAAAAGGAATACAATATTGTATAGTATTCAATCTCACTCTATTATTATTCCCTTAGAATCATTACTGCTTAAAGACTTAAAGCTCTACTGCGAAAATGAAGTCACACCCTGACACCTTAAACCCTATTACTCTAAGGAAGGAACAAAACAGATTTTTAAAAAACTTCCAATCCTATTCTACTCTGCCCAAATCATACTGTTATCAAGTCGCTTCTGGGCCTGGCAGAATGTAAAGGCTCTGAGGGGCCAGACAAGAAAAAGCCTCCCTAGAACTAGCCCACTAACTATTTGCATTTTGGGAATTCAAGGATGGCAGTAAAGTGTGTGTGTGTGTGTGTGGGGGGGGGGGGGGAATAACAAGCACAGGAAGGAAGGGGGGAAAGGGAAGAAGGGGTTGGGGGTTGGGAAAGAAACTAGGGCAGAGTTAAGGAAATTCCAATACAAGAGTAGAAGCTAGTATGAGGATCCTGTGGTGCCTTTTCTTAGAAAGCACTCAAGCCCCTTCAAAAACCTAGCTCTAAATGTTTTTAGGAGTCCTGATATGGCACTGTGGGTTAATGCGCAGAACTGCAAAGTCAGTTTGAATCACAAGGTCAGTGGTTCAAGCTCACCAGTCGCTCCTCATTAACCCTATACAGTCATTATGAGTTGGAACCAACTCAATGGCACTTAACAATACAACAAATGTTTTTAAAGTAGCTGGTCAAAAAGATTTGGTCCCTTCTTTTTCAAATGTCTAAATTTCCCAAATTAGCAGACAACTTTACTTAAATTTCATCATTTCATACAAGAGTTAACTGAGGACCAGAAAAGTTAAGAGATTTGCCTGAAGTTGCTCAGCTACTTGGTGAAAAATCCAGGCTAAAATCCATATCTTATTTACCACAATTCAAGGTTGTTTGTATTATTAGATCATTGCCTGACTACCCTAGCAAACTTCAAAAGGAGAGTAGCATAATGAAAATTTTCAACTTTAAAGAAAATATTTATAAAATATATAAGAGCAAGTATGTAAAAAAGCAAATTATTGATGCTGAACTGAAATGATATGAATAGGCTTGGATAACTAGAAGGACACATAGACGAATAAAATTTTGTACACATATTGAGATTTCCAAAGATATCTATTTTCAAGACTTAATTGCTATATAATTTGTATAGCAGTTTTATTGAATTATAACTCACATACTATAACATCCACCCTTTTTTAAGTGTACAATTCAATGGTTTACAGAGCCATGCAATCAGCACCACTGTCTAGTTTTAGATCATTTTCACACCCCAAAAAGAAACCCCATATACACTAGCAATCACTCCCCAGTCCTCTGTCCTCCCAACCTCTGGCAACTAATCTATTTTCTAGCTCTATGGATTTATAGATTCTAGACTCCATTTCATATTAATGCGATCATACTGCATGTGGTCTTTAATGACTGACTTCTTTCACATAGCACAATACTTGCTATAGAAATTTAATGTATTATCTGTAGTTGTTTTAACTGATATTAGCACTGGTCAAAATGTACCTTTACTTTATAGGTTAATAAAGATGTTTACTCTTCCAAATGAAACGCCATTAGTCAAAACGAATTTCTCCACTCCTAACTTCTTTATTACATTATGTATTTTTCCTTCATAACCATTATTGTAATCTCCTTTGAGTCATAATTATTTGCATGCATGGCTTATCTTCCCCAAAGTTCTATAAGCCCTTTTCATTAATGCATTCAATATTTATTGAGTACCAACCACATACCAAGCACTATGCCAGGGAATCCTTTAGAAACAGTTGTGATATCTCTGAATCCCTGAAAATACCTTCTCTATAATTGATCTTATTGTCATCTACATCTCAGAGATTTCACTAGCTCTTGATCCTTAATAAGAAATGTTTACTAAAACCAAGTTTTCAATGATGGGCTAGTAATTAAAAGGTTGGCAGTTCAAACCCAACCAGAGGAGCTTTGAAGAAAGGACTGGTGAACTGCTTCTGAAAGATCACGGCCTTGACTCTCTATAGTGCAGTTCTACTCTCTACACTTGGAGTCAACATGAGACGGAATCGACCCAAGAGCAACTAACGAAAACAGCACGACAAATCCTAGGTGACACAGATACATAGTTAACATTTCTTGGTGGTTGTTCTTAAATGCCATCCAGTCAGTTCTGACTCATAATGACTCTATGAACAACAAAAGGAAATACTACCCAGTCCTGTGCAATCTCAAAATCATTGTTATGTTTGAGGCCATTATTGCTTAGCCATAGTGCCAACCCAACTTGTTGAGGACATTCTTCTTTTTCACTGACCCTTTACATTACCAAGCATGACATCCTTCTCCAAGCACTGGTCCCTCCTGATAACATGTCCAGAGTACATGAGACAAAGTCTCACCATCTTCCCTTCTAGGACACATATGGCTGTACTTATTCCAACATAGATTTGCTGATTCTTCAGGCAATCCATGGTATATTCTGTATTCTTTACCATACGGTAACACTCAATTCTTAATTGTGGGTTAATGAGCTGAACTGCAAAGTTGGCTTGAACCGCAAGGTCAGCAATTCAAGCTCACCAGCCGCTCCTCAGAAACCCTATACAGGGTTGCTGTTGGTCAGAACCAACTCATTGTCCAGCTTTCACATGAATATGAGAAGACTGAAAACACCATGGCTTGAGTCAAGTGCCTAGTTCTCAATGTAACAGCTTGCTTTTTAACACTTTAAAGAAGTCTTTTATATCAGGTATTTTCATTGCAAATATGAGGCTTGATTTCCTGCCATCTGCTTCCATGGATTTTACTGTGGATCTAAATAAAAGGAAATCTTTGACAACTTCAATCTTTCTCCATTTATGGTGTTGCATACTTGTCCAGTTGTGAGGATTCTTGCTTTCTTTATGTTGAGGTCTAATACCCACTGAAGGCTGTAGTCCGATTTTCATGAATAAGGGTTCAAATTCTCTTCTAATTAAGCATGCAAGACTGTATCATCTGTATATTGCAGGTTGTTATTGAGTTTTCCACCAATCTTAGTGTCACATTCTTCTTAATATAGTTCAGCTTTCTAATTATTTGCTCAGCATACAGATTAAGTTGTTCTGGAATTCCCATTCTTCACAACTTTAAAAGTTTATTACGATCCACACAGTCAAATGTCTTTGCATAGTCAAAAAAATGCAAATAAATAAACACCTTTCTGGTTATTTTCTGCTTTCAGCTAAGACCGATCTGATGTCAGCAATGATATCCATAGTTCCATGTCCTCTTCTGAATATGGTTTGAATGTCTAGCAGTTTACCCATTAATGTACTGCTGCAATTATTTTTTAATTTTCTTCAGCAATATCTTACTTGTGATGATATTAATGAAATTATTGTTTGATAATTCTGCATCCTTTCTTTTTTTTTTTTTTAACCTTAAGTGAAAATTCTATATATTAAGGAGAAAAAAAGAAAGTCATTCTTGGCCTAATTCTTAGCCTAAATTTTTTCTTTCCAGTGGAACCAAAACCTCCTGATCCCCTTTAAGTGTCATCCAAAACTTGAACTTCCTCAATTTCTGGATAAAAAATTCGCTCACAAATGCACTGTACAATTTGGTCACACTTTTTTACTTCAAACTTTTCTTTGCCAAAATTAAATAGTACAACACCAACGTATTCTCTATAATCTTCATCAATGACACCAGCTCCTACATCTATGAAGTGTTTTGCAGCCAAGCCAGAACACGGAGCTACTCTTCCATAACACCCAGAAGGAAGGGCTATCTGAATGTCAGTTTGGCTTTCTCCATGGGTGGGACTGTATGGTCGTAGGCACTGTACAGGTCATAGTCCACTGCCTGCAAGGACCCCCCAGTAGCATGCTCCAACATCCAGGCAAAGTGGAGCCACATGCAACCCACCTTGGCAGACCGGACCCGCTTGCTGGGAGAGACAGCCGATATCACTTCAGAGCAGGGCATAGCAATGCAGAGGGAGAGGAAGAGAGCAGAGACGAGGGAATGAGAAAGCCTCTGCATTCTTTTTTGTAATGGGCACAAATATGAATCTCAACCAATCAATTGGTCAGGTAGCGTTGTCTTCCAAATTTTTTAGCATTAAAGTACTTCTAGCATTGCATCCCTGTGTTAAAATACCTCAACTGGTATTCTGCCAGTTACTGAAGCCTTGTTTTTCACCAATGCATTCAATATAGCTTAGACTTCTTGCTTCAATACCATCTGTTCTTGAGAATTTTCTGCCTCCTGAAATGAAGCCCAACTCTTTTTGCTATAGTGGCCCTATATATTCCATCCACCTTTTTTTGGTGCTCCTTGCATTAATCAATATTTTTCCTATAGAATTAGTCAATATTTCATCTCTAAGCTTAAATTTTTTCTTCAGTTCTTTCATAGTGAGAAATTCTGAGTGTGTTCTTTCCATTTGATTTTCTAATTCCAGGTATTTGCACATGTCACTATAATACTCTGTCTTCTCTAGTCACCCTTGGAAATTTTTGTTCAACTCTTTTACATCTTCATTTCTTCCTTTCCACTTAGCTTCTCTACATTCAAGACAAGTTTTAGAATTGCTTATGACACCTATTTTGGTCTTTAACTTGTTTACTGTCTTTTTAATGACCTTTTGCTTTCTTTATGTATGATGTCCATGATGTCACCCCACAACTCATCTGGTCTTCAGTTGCTAGTATCCAATGTGCCAAATTTATTTTTGAGATGGTCTCTAAATTCAGGTGGGATATATCTAAGGTCATATTTTGACTCTCATGGACTTGTTTTCATTTTCTTCAGTTTCAACGTGAACATACACAGGAGCAATGGATGATCTGTTCCACAGTCAGCCCCTTGGCCTTGTTCTGACTGATGATACTGAACTTCTCCATCATCTCTCTCTACAGAAGTAGTCAATCTTATTTCTAAGCATTCCAACTAGTGAGGTCTATGTGTATAGTAGTCATTTATGTTGTTGAAAATAGCTATTTGCAACTAATAAATCTTTGTTGTTGCTAAGTGCCATAGAGTCGGTTTGGACTCGTAGCAACCTGTATACGGTTTCCAATGAGTAGCTAGTAGGTTTGACCTGCCAACATTGATGTTAACTGTCCAGTGCTTATCCAACATGAGAGAGAACTCCCTGCTCCTACAAAATTCTAGCATACAATCTCCAGCATTTTTTTCTATCACCAAGGCCATATTTTCCAGCTACAGTTACTTCTTTGCTTTTACCTTGTGTATTCCAATAACTAGTAACTATCAAAGCATCTTGATTGCATGTGAAATAAATTTCAAACTGCAGAAGTTTGTAAAAATCTTCAGTTTCTTCATTTTTGGCATTAGTGATAATTTTTTTTAAACTAAAACTATCTTATAGATTTATTAACGAATAATACTTTACAAAAACAGTATGTTTGGTCCTAAAATAGTACAGCTGACTTTGAGAGTTTACAACAGCGACTGTGCTAATGGCAGTAATGGCTCTGCTGCTGAGGACAGGAAGGTGTGTTAGTGCACCTGACTCCATCTGTTCAGAGAGTCAAGCATTACGTTGACAGCTCCACATCTAGGCTAAGGTTAGGGGGATCAGGGAAGATAGACAGGCCATAATACCTGAGCAGGTGGGCTGCTCAAAGTGATGCAGTCAGAACCATAACAACAGGCCTACATGTTCCTCCAAGGATGGGGCTATGAAATACACAGGGTCAGGTAATAGGCACAGGTAGACAGAGAGTAGAAGTCGGGAGTATAGGAATGAACAGAGCATGAGAGTTTTGGTGGAAATAGAGGTATAGAATATCCAGGAATAAAATGGTGTCATCTTAAGATAAGGAATGGCTAGAGTAATATTATAGATTCATCTTTAAAGCAGCTCAACTAAAGACCTAAGCAATAATTGCTTCCTTTTACTAATGGAAATTGGAATTTCAAATATTTCCTCCTGAAGAGCCAGGTCTCCTTAGAAATTCTTGGCATCCTCAGGAGAAAGTAGAAACTCTATGCTGAGATGAGACTGGCATAACCATTACTGGGATGCAGGCTACCAGGTTTGCCCACAGTACAGGATCCTAGAGAATGATGTGGCTCCAGGAAAGAAAAAAGGATGACCCTTAACACCTACTGTGCTGCAGGGCTCTGACCTTGATCTGTTCTTTTCTGGGGACATTTGCTAGAATGAACAGAAGTTCTTCTCCCCATGTCCTCCAGTGCCCAGATTGGGGGGCACAACTGTTTTGTTTCCAGTCATCATCTGGGGGGTATATCTACTCTTTGAGGACCAGGAGCTTGGGACCCTGGAACAGGCCCCTAGTTCCCAGCTAACTTTAGGGGTACATGAAGACGGCTGGATTCTGAGTACACATGATGAACAATGGGAGGGTAGGAAGGCACGTGGGAAAGGTCCCCCAGGACTGTGCATAGTCCTGTCTGTCCCTGTGAAGACGGTGACTGTGAAGTCCCTGTCATCTTTCTGGTAATATGGCAGTGTGAGTTAGTGAATGCTGGCACCTAGAAGTTGTCAGAAATCTGGCCCCAATATGCTGGTTAGTCTCTGTCCAGGGTCCCCAGGAGGAATCTGTTCTAGAGTGATGTAGCTTCCTTTCTGTATATTTGATCCCTTGGGAAGTTTCACCCCTGTCACACATAGCCAGAAACTGCTGGGAATTCCTCAAAGTTCCTGGGGTCTACGGGGCTCCCCCTGTACCAGGATATCTGGAGACAGGAACTTTGGATGCGGAGGGGAGAGTTGGGAACCAAGGAGAAATACAGGAGGGTCATGAATTACAAAAAGAGAAGAGGAGCTGGAACAACAGTGCCTGGTTCCAAAGGTTTTTCCCTCATGTTTGATGACTCTTGAGAAGTAAGCATTGTGTTGGCTTCATTTCTGCTTTTGGGGTCTTTGCTAATCCAAGCCCACGGGCAGAATGCAGCTTCCTCTCCATGCCAACTGTAGAGCCTGTTCTGCTAAATGTGTGCCAGGGCACATCCCCATTTAGAACAGCCAGCTTGAGAAGCCTGGGGACTAGTCTGGCTACTAGCCTGGCTAAATTTGAATAATAGTAACTATATTAACTGGTCTTCCCTGTAGGTGGATAGATACTATCTTATGACAAATATTATCCTATCACAGACAGTGTTGTACTTCAACACAGATCTTGAAATGCTCTTTATGAATTTGCCATTCCCAGTATAGTAGACCATATGAATATCTGATTCGAAATGGCCAATAACAGTTTATTTCAGCTCATTAATGCCTAGGATATGGATCTTTATATGTTCCATTTCAATTTTGATGATTTCCAAGTTTCCTAGATCCATACTTACCACATTTCACGTTTTGATTATTAATGGGTGTCTGCAGTGGTATCTTCTTACACTGAATAGTACCTCATCAGCAAATGAATGTCCTGAAAGCTTTACTCTGTCCACATCATTTATGTCAACTCTACTTTGAAGCAGCTCTTCCCTAGTTGTATTTTGAGTGCCTTCCAACCTGAGAGGCTCATCTTCAAGCAGTATATCAGGCAATGTTTCACTGTTATTCATAAGGTTTTCACTGGCCGATGTTTTTGGAAGTAGATTAACAGAGCCTCCCTTTCTAGTCTATCTTAGCCTGAAGACTCCTTTGAAAACTGACCTCGGCACCTGAAATACTGGTGGCATAGCTTCCAGTGCCATAGCAGCATGCAAGACACCACAGCACACCATAGTGGCAGATGAATGGTGGAACATTTCCTCATATATCCTATCTGTATATACTTGCAATCAAACTAGCATTCCCTGTTCCCACTTTTTATTGTATTCCACTGCAGAGAACAAACAAATTTCACACTTGGATGGATTAACAGAAATTATGAATTAGTAGAATCCAAAATAAGTCTGTTTTGGTTAATGATTGATAAAGCTTGACATACCTCGGCTGCACATTATCATCAATTGACAGTGTCAAATTTTCCATTTCTTCAGCACTTAAGCCTAGCTCAGGGCCATAGTTCTGCTGTACCAGCTGCCAGAATTCCTGTTTGGTCAAGCTCTACAATGACATCAAAATTACACTAAGTATTGGGAAAAGACAATGTAAAGTGATTCAAAGCATTTACTCTTTTTTGTCATTTGTGGGGTTTTTTCAAAGTATTTACTCTTAAGACAAAAAAACTACTAGCTGTGTGTCTTTAGTAGTAATTTAACCTTTACAAGTCTCAGTTTGCTGTATTTGTAAAAATGGATTTTAGAATCTACCTGACAGAGGTGTTATGGGGAATAGATAAAATAGTGTTTATACAGTACATAATAAATACTTTAAATGAGAGATAAAATTATTCAAAATTTCTTTTCCTAAAATAAAATTTCCATAGTTTCTAGCAATCACTAATCTATAATTTAAATTCTACAATCCAACCAGTCTTTCATGACCACCGGATCACCATTCAGCATCCTGTCAACTCAGAATCCATCTTCTTAATTCAAAAGCCTAGTCAAATATTTAAATAATTTTTAGAATCTTAAATGCATGTAACATTTTAAATTAAATCTCTCTAAAACATACATTGCTAGATTCCAGAATGTTTCCTTTGATCTACTTATAATAAAGTTCAGCTTGTTCTGTCTGCGTTGGTAGGATGTTAAGTGTTGAAATCACTAAATACAACAAATTCATGTATTACATAGCAAACCATAAATAGCAGCAATATGATAATCAATGGTATGATTTCTCAAACCATTAAAACAAAAGAAAACAAAAAAATACATTGCCATTGAGTCAATTCTGACTCCTACCTACTCAGCCAGGCAGAGAACTGTCCCCTAGGGTTTCTAAGGCCATCCTCTTTATAAAAGAAGAACGCTTCAGCTTTCTCTGAGTCACTGAGTGGATTCAAACCACTGACCTTTCAGCTAGCAACTGAAAGCTTAACCCCTGTGCCAACAGGGCTCCTTCTAGAAAGATCATAGATGGGTAATTACATGATTAAGCAATGTTAACACTAATGTAACACCTGAAGCAACTGTTGGCAAGACTATCTCTCATTCATTCAACAAATATTTATTTAGTACCTGCTAAATGTGTATCACCACACTAGATGCCAAGAAGGATAAAATAAGATACAAATTAAACTCCTTGCCCTCAAACAACACAGAACATAGGTAGGGAGACATGGGAGGCTATTAAGTAAAGCTAAATACTACAAGCTATATATGATAAATTACTCACTAAAATACTCATATTATCAACATGGTATAAAAATTACTGTGAATTAGGATTATCACATAAGGCTTCACACTTGAGAAGGGTATTTAGCTGAGCTAAAGGGAGAATATAACCACCACCACCACCAAAGGGAGAATATGGAGATATGAAAAAAAAAAAAAACTTGGGGAAAGGAAAACCAACACAAAACACAGAATACACTAACTTAAGTAATATTACTTTTGAAGTATGTTAATGGTTTATCTGTTTCAAGTTGGGAAATAGTAGAGATAAAAATATAGTTTTATTGTTGCCAAAATGTATGTTGTTGTTGTTAAGTGCCACTGAGTCGGTTGCAACTCAGTGACCCTGTATAGGATTTCTGAGGAGCAGATGGTGGGTTTGAAATCCTGACCTTGTGGTTCACAGTCTAGTGCTGATCCTACCACTCAAGGTACCTTGAACTCCTCCCAGATACTCCCTATAATAAATGCCATTTCCTTTATTCTTGTTCTTTGTTTCTTCTGTTTCGTAGCCATAGGATCTTTGTTTGTTATGTTATATCAGATGACCTTCATTATATTTCATGAAACCTCAGAGAGATGAAGTACCAAACTTCTGTACTTTGGACTACTCATTCCCAATCTACAGAACCCAAACCATTAGCATTCCACAGGAGTATATGATGAAAAGGCACAATTATCAGCATTTCAACAAGAAAAAAATATCCAAAAGGGACCCATAATAAAGTTACTCATGCTAAATGTCCAGCTTCTTTGGTTGGCACTGAATAATATTAACCAGTTATTTCAGGTTGCTAAGAAACTCTCACTGGAAACAATGTATGTCTAAAAAATATGAATATTCAATATTTTATTATTTCATATATGCCACTTATTTTGGAACACAGAAAAAAAATTAAAAGATCACTAGTGGTAAAGATACTTGGGAATCAATATTCCTTGATCCTAAAGGTATCTACACATCCCTTTTCTGCCTCTCACTCCAGAAAAGTCAACTATTAGCATTTTTCCCACAATTACAGTTAGCCTATACTACTAATTTAGTCATTCTTCCAAAGTCGCCTTTGAAACATTTTTAGTGTCATAAAAGGATCATTAGCTTTGTAGGCAAAAAAAGCAATATTCTAATAAACTTGAAGATTAACTTCTTATAAAATTTCTCTGAAATAAAATGATCAAACTATCTCAAAGACAGACTGAAGCAAGTAGATAAAATGATGACAAATACTCAGCTCCCTGAGAGTGTAAGAAATGAAACTTATAATACAAATAAAATGCTGCTAACAAAAATACAAGTTTATGTGAATACATAGATAAATATTTTAAAGTATGAGTATTATCAAATGCTAACAAACTTAATAGCTGGGTAAGCCGGTTATATTTTTACTCTACTAATAAATATGCATGTATATATAATAGGCACATACAAGGCAAAGCAGAACTCATTCAACTCACCATCTTATAGATTTGCTAATTTTTTTTAATTGCTATTTTTCTAAAAAGATGTTCAGAAATTACAAACATTTGGTGATTTACAGCAATAGTGAATATTTAAAAATACGCCCAGCCTGATAGTCACAATTCTTTTTGTAATCGGCAGTAGAACCAATTTGCCAACTTAACTTTAAAACACAATTTAGGTTTTTTCAACAAAAGCTGACCACCTACCTGCAAACAAAGGAGTGAGACCTGGTTCAGTCTACAGAGTAGTCTAACAAAATAAGGTTGAACCAAGTAGTAATCAGAGAAGGCTCAAAAGTCAGACGATCAGTTTCTGGCCCAGAAAGCTTTGTATTCTAAGTATGCTGCAAAGTCTCCGTAATTATCAGCAGCAGAGTTCCAAGTATTCCACAACAACTATGTAAAATCACTGCTTTGATCTCCTCATATTGTTATGAGGAGTTCCTTCTAAAAGGCAAGGTCCAAGGTAGTGTAAAAGTCCGGTTTGTCACTTCCTGGTTTATAGTATCAGCACTCTCCAAGGTGGCAGGTCAGAATACAGAATTGGAAGTTATACCTCACTCTACAGGTTCCTAAGCCACTCCTACTAGAAGAGAATAGGTAAACAGCATTTTATTAAAGGGACAGTTCCCAGTTTCTTCCGTTCTACACACAGACTGGAAACAAGAAATTGCAAATGAAAATATCTTGCTCATGTTCAATTACCTAACATGCCTATTAAAATATTATTTAGCCTCATTTTTAAATTTAAATATGCCAAGGGTTGAATTTTCAGCTCTATGCTAAGAATTTCTATTCCATTCTGGCCATGCATGACATTACTGCTTTTGCTCATGCCATTTTTTTCAGCATTGAAGTAGCATCCCCATCAGATTCCTCCATTAACCTTTGTGACTATCAGCAACTATGTCACATGAGTATTGAAAACAGAATGGCAGGAAACAGCAAGAAACAGTTAAGCCAGCTATTCAAGTGATGCAGTGCCAATAAGCAGTTAGTACATCTTCATCACTAGAAAGTTTAAGGCAACATCTTGGTTACTCAGTACTTACTTTCTTAAAACAATTTTGACTTCATTTTATCCAAAACATTTTTCTGGTGGTGATACTCTCTATACAGAGTATCATATACCAATTTAATTTTTTCCTGCAAATTGAAAGTTTTTATTCTAAATTAAAATTTTAAACTTGTACTAATTTATATCTGGATTCCTGGTGTGATGCTGTAGGATCAGCTCTGAACTTCAAACCACAAGATCGGCAGTTCAAATATATACCAGCTACTCCTCAGAAACCCTATATAGCAGGGATGGGGAACCTCTGGCCCATAGGCTATATGTTGTTGTTGTTAGGTGCCATCAAGCTGGTACTAACAGCAATCCTATGCACAACAGAACGAAACACAGCCCGGTCCTGCGCCAACCTCATAATCATTACTACATTTGAGCACACTGCTACTGCCACTGTGCCAATCACCTCACTGGGGTCTTCCTCTTTTTCTTGACCCTCCACTTTATCAAACATGATATCCTTCTCCAAGGACTGGCGTCTCCTGATTATATGTCCGAAGCATGAGAAACAAAGTCTGACCATACTGGCTTCCAAGAAGCATTTAGGTATACATCTTCCAACATAGATCTGTTCATTCTTTTGGCAGTCCATGGTACTTTTTAATATTCTTCTCCGATACCATAACTCAAATGGATCAATTCTTTTACGGTCTGCCTTATTCACTACCCAACTTTCACATGTATATGAGGCTACTTAAAACACCATGGCTTGGGTCAGGCGCAACGTAGTCCTTAAACTGACATCTTTCCTCTTCAACACTTTAAAAAGAACTTGTGCGGCAGATTTGCCTAATGCAGTATGTCGTCTGATTTCTTGCCTACTGCTTCCAGTTTATTTGATGGTTGATCCAAGCAAACTAAGTCTTTGACAACTTCAATCTTTTCTC